CCATATTCCCAGTGGACACTCATACACCAAATCCAGTAGAGCTGTGCTCTCACATGCAGAAGAACAGATCATCTCTGTCCTCCATTTCACTGTGATGCAACAGAACCACACCAGTTCAGGTTTGGCAGCCCCTGCAAAAACTTCTGCACCCAGATTTATTTAAATCAGAAATAAAAATAGCCTTTTGACTGCTGGCCATTTAGAGGAGCAATATAGGAATTTGTTGCTGGACAAATGAAAGAATTCTAGAGGGCTGTAGCCATAGAGAAGCCATAGATAGCTTGTCTCTCCCCCAGATGACAAGTTCTTTTCTCCTCACAACAGACACAGCAACTGAAGAAAGGATGGACATTTTTCCTACCCCAGCAAACTTGCATGGGGGAGAGAAATATGCACATTCAGACAGAAGCTAGGCCCTTGGTTTGAGAGGAATATTAGTTCAGTCCTAGGACTGTGGCAACTCCTTCACCTCCGGTCACTCCAGGCAAGAGTATCTCTGCTACTCTATGACACAGACTTCTCAGGTGGGGTCTTTCCTATCTTGACAAGGTTGAGCTTTCCCATGAATAGAATTAGCCTCTCTTGTTTTATGGTATTCTCATGCCTTGCATGACTTTTGGCTTGGGTCTTGTGTGAGTTACAGATTATTTTTACCATGCATGGTCCTGTGAAAATTTCTGCAATGCTTGTAACATTGCTTCCAGTTGAATGTTTCATAATTAAAAATTGCATACATGTACTAAGACATCTAGGTTTATTTTACCTGTCATTATAAGCCCTGTAGGCTGCCTTCTCGCTTTCTGTATTATACTGGGGGTGGGAGGGGAAGGTGGGTGTTTTGTTTCTTTGTGTTATCTGCTGTTGTCTGATATATGAAAAAGACTACAGTGGGTGGTTGTCTGTACTTTCTTGGTCAGATTTTTATTAGGTGGCTGCCTCTGATTGCAAAAGACTGGATTGAATGATGTGGACTGTCCTTTCCCATCCTATATTCCTCAGTTTCTTTAGCCCCTAGAACTTTATCTCGCAATCCAAAAGTGATATCCTTTGCTCTTCACTGCAATTTTTGCTGAGGAATTCCTTAGAAATTGGCACAGCAATTTGACATTATGTTTATGATTTACATTTAAAAAAGCAAGACAACTCAAGTGGATTCAGAAACACTTCTATATTAGGTAGACTGTTGAGGATAAATTTTATTTTTAGGGGATAGATTTTACTGTTCAAGAAAGTGAAGGGTTAATAGCACCACTCTACACCCAGCTGTTGTGTAGGCCTGACAATACACCAACACCCCTGACATTACAGGCCTGACTGTCCTGAAAGGAACTGCAGGTCAGGCCAGATCATATTGCAGTTTAGTTAAGTGGGCTAGAAAGAGGGCACCCACCTTATTTGCACTTGTGATTTAGAATAATCAGGATTTGAATGTCAGTCTCCTGTGATAAAAGGCTAATTTACTAACCCCCAGTGCCACGCTCACCTCTTTTCTGCATATGTACTGGAAATCATAAAGTATGTAAAATTATCTACTGTTCTGAGGCCTCTGGTAGCCTGAGCCTTAATATTATTTTTACTTCTTTTTTTTATATTTAATCTTATATGCTCCAGTTGAATTACATTAATGGATTAGAATACACTATGATCTTATGAGAATTCCACTACAATAGATAGATGGTTGGATGGACGGACGGACAGATGCAGGTTTAAAGCACAAGAGGATTTGCATATTTAGTTCTGCTTTACAGCCTTCTTTAGAGAGTGGAATTAATGATCTGCTAAATTATCACAGTTGAGATTCTTCAGCATTAGTGTGAATTTGTCTCCTGCTAGAGCTAGACTTACAACTTTTCTAGAGACATGTAAGAATAATAATGTTGTGTTTTTTCTGAGTTCTTTACACCAGAAGAATTGCCATATTATTTTTCCATAGTCAAGAAACAAGTAAACGCTAAAAGCAGGCTTTTCTGTGGGGTGCCTTGAGTCTAAAAAGTTTGAGAACCACTGACCTACTCACTGACAAAGTTAATGCTGTGGAGAAAGAATCAATTTCCCTAAAACAGTCTGTATTTTGCCTGCACCAAGACACTATATTAGGCCATCACTAGCCATGTCTACACGAGACGCTGACTATGCAGTAGCTCGATACTAGGCTCGTTACTACTGTGCAGTAGCGTCACATGGCAGGAAGCATGATGTGACGCTACTGCACAGTAGTAATGAGCTACTGCGTAGTCAGCATCACCTAAAAGCTATTTGGTGACGTTACTGTGTGGTAACTCCAGGTCCTGCGCAGCAATTTAATACTTGTTTATGCAAAAGCTAAATGAGTGTGCAGTCAGCATCTCATGTAGACATGGCCACTGAGAGTAGTTTCTCAGAAACATTGATTTTGAAGGGAGAATAAGGAATTTAGAATTGGTAAGGACCAACATTTCTTATCTGAATTCTGATATGCCAAACATATTTTTTTGAATTAGTATTAACTTTAGTATTTGTCCTGTGTGTCTGAGGCATCAGATCCACTAGGATAAAGTAGGATAAGAAGTTACTGCCACATGGCACATAAACTAGAGCTCCAGTGGAGCTGAAGGAAATGATCCTCTTCTTCACAAAGCAGGCGGCAAAAATTATCCAGAAGATTCTTTCGCATGAGCAAGGAAGTATTGACATATACATTTATGGCCTGCCCTGTGCTGTGCATGCTCTGCACATGTCATTAACCTCTGAATTGAGTCATGTACCATGAGGAATCAAACCCTGAACCTCAGGGTAGTTTAAAAAAATGCAACTTAACTGTTTGAGCTACAAGATCCCTGTTTGTTAGATCACAGTCAGTAGCTGGCTCATAAAGCTCTGTGTATTCTGGTCCCTGAGAGGACATAGCCCTGAACTGTACAAGGACTGGTTTCACCCGCCACATCTTTTGGTCCTGTAAAATAATAATAAATTGCAGCTTGGAATTAAATTTCTGTGTAGGAGAAAATAAATTTCTGCATAGCAGAATAAGGGAAAAGACGTGTAGAGTATAACACGGAATGCTCAACAAGAAGACATTGGCCCCACAGACAGAGAGGAATGAGTAGATCATGCAGTAGATCATGCAGATATGTTAATTTAGTGTAAGTACACAATGTACTTGGTGTCCAAGAAATTGAGGAAAGGAACAATTCCCTATGCTCAGTTTTGCTCTCTAGACTGTGTATGCTCTGGTGATTGATTGACAGCTAGTTTATCGTTCTTGGTGAGCGGTGGACCTCATCCAACTCCTGTTGAATACAGTGGGAGTCTATTAGCTTCAGTGGGAGCTGGAGGGGAACCTCCCAAGTGGACTGCTGGCAAACCATGAAAAACTGATTCCACCTTTTACCCTATTCAAGTACCCCAACAGGTTGGCATAATTGTTTTCAAGCCCTCCTTTTGATTCCTAGTCAGGGACTGATACTTAAGGTATAAAAACATTATTTGGTTCTGTAGAATACAAAAATAAGCTGGCAGACACACACACAGTGCAGAGTCAAAAGACTGAAAACCCAAGTGCAGCATTATAGCTATCACTCTTTGGCCCCTCAGGGAAGTATTAAGTGAACATGTTCTACAATGTGGGTGAAACCAGTACTTGCATGACTTGTTTATTTACTAGTAAAATATAATAATGATTATTGTCATGTTTTATCTCGATTTTTCCTGCTTTTCCTTGTCCCTTAGTTCATCCTTTTATTTCATTTTCCCCTTTCAGCTTCTCTTCCTTTTCTTCTGTCTATGAATTTCCTCTTCTCTTAAGCTGTTCAC